TTGAGTATATTCCTTATGCTCTGATTTTTATTCCCGTGACTTACTCATTCCATAACTGGAGGCCCGTATCTACCTTTCTCATTCATCCATTTTACCCAACTTCCCACCCCCGTCCCCTCTGATAATCATCAATTTGTTCATTGTACTTATAGTTCTGATTTTGTGTTTTATTTATTCACTTTTTCAGATTGCATTTATGAGTAGAATTATACGGTATATATCTTTCTCAGTCTGATTTAATTCATTTAGCATAATATCCTTTAGGTCCATCTGTGTTGTCTTAAATGGCATGATCTCATCCTTTATATGGCCGTGTAATATTCCATCATATATATACACACCACATTTTATGTATTCATTTGTCTACTGATGGACATTTAGGTTGCTTCCATATCTTGGTTATTGTACGTCATACTGAAATAAACTTGGGGGTGCATTTCTCTTCTGTAATTAGCATTTTCATTTTCCGTGGGTAAATGCCCAAAGGTAGAATTGTGGGAATGTATGGTAATTCTATTTGTAATTTTTTGAGGAACCTCCATATTGTTTTCCACAGTGGTTTTACCAATTTACATTCCTACCAACAGTGCACCAGGGTTCCTTTATCTCCACATCCTTGCCAACATTTGTTGTTTCTTGTCTTCTTAATTTTAGCAATTCCAACAGGTGTCAGGTGGTATCTCATTGTAGTTTTGATATACATTTCCCTGATGATGAGTGATGTTGAGCATCTTTTCATGTGTCTTTTGGTATACCATATCGTCATCCATGCATCTATTGACGAACACTTGGGCTGCTTCCATAGTTTGGCTCCTGAAGCTAATGTTGCAGTAAACTTAGGGGTGTGTGTATCCCTCTTAATTAGTGTTTTTGTATCTGGGGGGTAAATACCCAGTAGTGCAAACACTGGATCAAAGTGTAATTCTATTTTTAACTTTTTGAGGAAACTCCATACTGTTTTCCACAGTGGCTACACTAGTTGTATTCCCACCAACAGTGCAAGAGGGTTCCTTTTTTCTCCACATCCTTGCCAGTACTTGTTGTTTCTTGTGTTTTGTGTTTCACCATTCTGACAAGTGAGGTGATATCTCCTTGTGGTTTTGATTTACATTTCCCTAATGATCAGTGGTATTAAGCATCTTTTCATGTGTCTGTTGCCCATTAGGATGTCATCTTTGGAGAAATGTCTGTTCATGTCTTCTGCCCATTTATAATTGAATTATTTGGTTTTAGGGTGTTGAGTTGTTATCAGTTCTTTCTGTATTTTAGATACTAACCCTTTATCGATATGTCATTTGCAAATGATCTTCTCTCATTCTGTAGGTTGCCATTTAGTTTTGTTGATTATTTCCTTTGTTCTGCAGAAGCTTTTTATTTTGAGGTAGTCTCAATAGCTTATTTTTGCTTTTATTTTTCTTGCCTCAGGAGACATATCTAGAAAAATATTTCTAGAGCCAATGTCAGAGAAATGCTGCCTCTCCTCTCTCCTAGAATTTTTATGGTTATAGGTCTCACTTATAGGTCTTTAATCTATTTTGAATTTATTTTTGTATATAATCAAAGAAAGTGGTCCATCTTCATTCTTTTGCATGTGGCCGTCCAGTTTTCCCAACATCATTTGTTGAAGAGATTGTCTTTTTCTCATTGTATATTCATTCCTTATTTGTTGAAGGTTCATTGATCATATAATTATGAATTTATTTCTCAGTTTTCTCATCTGTTCTGTTGATCTATGTGTCTATTTTTATGCTGTACCATACTATTAAAATCACTACGGCTTTGTAATATAATTGGAAGTCCAGAATTGTGATGCCTCATTTTGCTTTTTTTTTTTTGTTTTTCAAAATTGCTTTTGCCTTCAGGGTCTTCTGTGGCTCTGCACAAATTTTAGGACTCTTTGTTCTAACTCTGTGAAAAATGCTGTTGGTATTTTGATAACAATTGTATTAAATTTGTTCAAAGGGATGTATGCACCCTGATATTCATAGTAGCATTATCTATAATAGCCAAATTATGGAAACAACCAAATGTCCACTGACTGATGAATGGATAAAGAAGAGGTAGTATATATGTATATATGTATGTAGGTATGTATATACACATACATATATAAAAATATATAATGGAATATTATTCAGCCATAAAAAAGAAGGAAATCTTGTTATTTGTAATGACATGGATGGAGCTAGAGAGTATTTTACTAAGTGAAATAAGTCAAAGAAAGATAAGTACTGTATGATTCCACAAATATGTGGAATTTAAGAAACAAAACAAATGAGTGAAGGGAAAGAGAGAGACACACACACAAACTAAGAAACTGTTAACTGTGGAGAACAATGTGATGGTTACCAGAATGGAAGTGGGTAGGCGGGAGGGTTAAATAGATGATGGGGATTAAGGAGTTCACTTGTTGTGATGAGCACCAGGTGTTGTATGGAAGTGTTGAATTACTATATTTTATGCCTGAAACTAATACTATACTGAATGTTAACTAACTAGAATATAAATAAAAACTTTAAAAAAGAAACGATCCTATGTTTTTTGTTCTTTCTCTTATTGATGAGACATATTATATTGTTTTATCTACATTGAACCATCCTTGCATCCCCAGAGTAAATTCCACTTGATCTTGATCATCATAAATGATTTTTTAATGTATTGTTGGATTCAGTTTGCTAATACTTTGCTGAGATTTTTCATCGATGTTCATCAGAGATATTGACCTATAGTTCTTTTTTGGTGATTTCTTTATCTGGTATTGGTATCAGGGTAATGCTGGCCTCATAGAAAGAATTTGGAAGTTTTCCTTCCATTTCTATTTTTTTGAATAGTTTGAGAAGAAATAGGTATTTGCTCTCTGTAAATGTTTGGTAGAATTTACCTGTGAAGCTGCTTGATCCTGGACCCTTAGTTTTGGGGAGTTTTTTTATTACTGATTCAATTTCATTGCTGGTAATAGAGCTATTCAAATTTTCTATTTCTTCCTACTTTAGTTTTGGCAGATTATATATTTCTAGGACATTATACATTTTGTCTGAGTTGTTCAGTTTTTTGGCATATAGGTTTTCATAATACTCAGTTACAATTGTTTGTATTTCTATGGTGTTCATTGTTATTTCTCCTCTTTTATTAGTGATTTTATTTGGGTCCTGTCTCTTTCTCCCTTTCACTAGCTCTTTCTCTTTCTCTTTTGAAAAGTCTGTCTAAAGGTTTATCAATTTTGTTGATCTTTTCAAAGAACCAGTTCCTGTTTTCATTGGTCTGTTCTATTGTGGTTTTTTGTTTTTGTTTTTGTTTTGTTTTGGTTTTAGTTTCTATATCACTTATTTTTGCTCTAATATTATTATGTCTTTTCCTTTTGCTGGTTTTGGGTTTTGTTTGTTCTTTTTCCAGCTCCTTTAGACATAAGGTTAGATTTTTTATTTGAGATTTTTCTTTCCTCTTGAGGTATGCCTGTGTTGCTATTTACTTCCCTCTTAGAATTGTTTTTGCTGTATCCCAAAGATTTGGGATTGTTGTGTTTTCATTTTCATTTGTTTCCCTCTAATCTTTAATTTCTTCTTTTAGTTTGTGGTTGACCCATTCATTGTTTAGTAACATGTTATTTAACCACCATGTATTTGTGGTCCTTCCACATTTTTCATGGTTAATTTCTAGTTTCATAGCATAGTGGTCAGAAAAGATGCGTGGTATGACTTTGATATTTTTCAATTTTGAGACTTATCTTGTGGCCTAATATTTGATCTCTTCTGGAGAATGTTCTATGTGCACTTGGAAAGAATGTGTATTCTGCTGCTTTAGGATGGAATGTTCTGAATGTATCTGTTAACTCCATTTGGTCCAGTGTGTCATTTAAAACCACTGCTTCCTTGTTTATTTTATGTTTGGGTGATCTGTCCATCAGTGTAAGTGGGGTGTTAAAGTCCCCTACTATTATTGTATTATTATCAATTATTTTCTTTATTTTGCTATTACCTGTTTTGTGTATTTGGGTGCTCTCATATTGGATGCATAAATATTTATAATTGTTACATCTTCTTAATAGATTGTTCTGATATAGTGTCCTTCTTTTCTCTTGTTACAGTCTTTGTTTTAAAGTCTATTTTGTCCAGTGTAAGTATTGTTACTCTGGCTTTCTTTTGACATCCATTTGCATGAAGAATGTTTCTCTATATCCACACTTGCAGTCTTTAGGTGTCTTTAGTTCTGAAATAAGTCTCTCATAGGACGCCTATAGATGGGTCTTTTTTTTTTTTAAAGATTTTATTTATTTGACAGAGAGAAATCACAAGTAGGCAGAGAGGCAGGCAGAGAGAGAGGAGGAAGCAGGCTCCCCGCGGAGCAGAGAGCCCGATGCAGGGCTCGATCCCAGGACCCTGAGATCATGACCCGAGCCGAAGGCAGCGGCTTTAACCCCCTGAGCCACCCAGGCGCCCCAAGGGTCTTTTTTTTTTTTAATCCACTTTTTCACCCTATGTCTTTTGATTGGAGCAGTTAGTCCATTTACAGTCAAAGTAATTATTGATAGATATGTATTTAGTTGTCATTTTTTATTGTTTTATGGTTGTTTCCATAGATTTTCTAGATGCTTTCTTCTCTCTTCCATGTGTTGTTGGCTTTCTATAGTGATATACTTGGATTCTTTTTTATTTTTTGCATATCTATTACAAGTTTTTTACCACCTAGATTGTTTTGTTTTCTATTTCATTGGTTTTCACTTTAGTTTTTAATATCCTTTTTCTTCTGTTTATTTTAGGCTTAATCTGTTCTACTTTAGTTTTTAAGGTTTTTCACACATTTTCCCCTAATGTTGCAGGTTTTGGTGTAAAATTTCACCTAAGTTCTGGTTTAGTGGCATCCCACAAATCCTGATAATGTTGTATTTTCATTTTATTTGGGTTGAGTGTTCTATGAATGTTAATTAGATCCATGGCGACACACAGCTCCAAAGTTCCCTGGGGATGATTTCCATTCCAGTCATACCTAAAAGGAGAAAGAACATGGAGAAAGGTGCTTGAGAGGTTTTTGTGACATCACTTCTATTCAAATTCTATTGGTTAGAACTCAGTCATATGGCTTCACCTAATGGTATGGGAAGCTGGGACATGGTAGTCTAGCTTTTTGCCGGGGAAGAAGAGGAAAATGTATTTGGACAAACAACCAGCAATCTCTTTGTATTTTCTGGAAGAGCTTGTATAAGATAAGAAATACTTGAATCATGGGTATACAGTAGAAATTATAAAGTTATTGGGGCCTGCTCTTTTCTTTAGGGGAAATTTTGTAACTGCTGATTGTTTAATGGATACATGTTGATTTAGGTTTTCTATTCTTGAGTCATTTTTTGTAAGTTACTTTTTAGGTATATATAATTTTGTAACAGTTTTAAAATGTATTACCATAAATTTGTTTGAAGTATTTTCTTATTTTAAACTCTGCTGTAATTGTAATTATGTTCTTTCTTCATTTTAAATATTGTTTATTTATACTTCTTTTTTACTTGGTTTTTAATCTAACTAGAGCTTTATTCAATCTTGTTAGTCTTTACCAAGAATTTTAATTTTTATCCTATTAATTTCTGTTCATTATTTCTTTTCTCTACATTACTTGGGCTTATTTTGCTGGTCTTTTTCAACTTATAATTTGAATGATAAGCTCATTATTTTTCAGCTTTCTTTTCTAATATATGCATTTAGGGCCATATATTCCCCTTGAATTTGGCTCCAGCATTGTTGCTACAAGTATTTGTACATATCATTATTGATTATTTCTATGTATTTTCAAATTTCCACTGATTTCTTCTTTAAGGCATGAGTAATTTACAGTGTGATTTTAAATTTCAACAGGTATAGGAGCTTTTCTTAGGGTATATATTAGGTTATTAATTTCAAAATTAATTTCATTATTTTCAGAGAATGTGGTATATGTAATAATGATTCTATAAAACTTATATGGAGTCTTGCTTTATGCCCTGGTATATGCCATGGTATATATAAGTTTGAGATGTCTTCCTGGTTTTTTCCATGTTATTAATTCCTTGCAACATTATCTTATTTATTTATAATTATAGTTGTGTAAGATAGATAGTATGACTCCCATTTTTCAAATCAGAACATTAAAGTCCAGCCATCACAATAAGTAACTTTACTATATTCACAAACAGATCTAATTAGTCTTATAACCACTCTGAACAAATACCAAGTAAAAAAGTATGGTCAACTTTTTATACTGGTTGCATATGAGCCTTGCTTATATCTCATTATAGATTTTTAAACCTTTAGGGCAAGGATTCATTCTTATTTAAAGGGCTTTTTACCCCTCACTTGATATCTGAAACAATATTCTATGCATATTTGGTGTTTAAAAGATTTTTGTTGATGGGGTGCCTGGTTGGCTCTGTCAGTTAATGGACCAACTCTTGGTTTTGGCTTGGGTCATGATCTCAGGGTTGTCAGATCAAGCCCCATATGGGGCTCCACACTCAGCACAGAGTCTGCTTGAGATTCTTCCTTCCCCTTCCTCTCCCTCCCCTTCTGCTCCTCCCCCACTCGCTCATGCTCTCTTTCAAATAAATACATAAAATCTTAAAAAAAAAAAAAAGATTTTTGTTGAATTGGAGTAAACCTGAGATTGAAATCTGGCAAAATTCCAAAAGAGTATAATAAACAGGTAATTCATGAAGATTCAAAAAATAAAACAAAGACAAGAGGAAAGATGGTGGAGGACTAGGGGACCCTATTTCAACCAGTCCCCTGAATTGAGCTGGATATCTACCAGACCATTCCGAGCACCCACAAAATCAGCCTGAGATGTAAGAAGATATGGATCTCTACAAACAGAATATTTCTGACGATTGGTCTTGAGGTATGAAATGTGGAGCTGTGATTCTGTGAGCAGATATCAGAAGATAAACAGAATGGGGAGGGAGCCTCAGGGATCCTGCCACTGGAGTGCAAAAGCCTCCCATGTTAGGGACTGGCACAGACTAAGAGACTGGTAGTGGTAGGGAAAGGACTTTAGGGCAGCCCCCCAGATTGAAACCTGGAGCTGCAGGGGCACACCTGTGAACTGAGGGGCAGCTTGCAGTTTTAGAGCACAAAGGGCAGAGACATGCCTGAACTTGGAAGCGAGGCCTGGAAGTGCTGCTGTGGGGCACACGATCCAGGACTCGTGGTTTTTTAGCAACACAGAGAGAAATGGAGATAGTGTGGCCTAGAGTACTCAGTGGAGAGCAGTAATCTCTCTGTTCTGAGACAGAGGTTTGGATACAGTCACTTCTGCTCTCTCAGAAGAGAACACAGAAAGCTGCCAGAGAACAAAAGCCCCCCAAAACCAGTTTTCACTGAGCCCATCCTCCCCTCACAGGGGGCAGGGCAACTCTGCCCAAACAGGGTTGTATGAGGTGCAGCAGGCCCCTCCCCCAGAAGACACACTAGAAGAAGAGACCAACAACCCTAAGGTCCCTATAAAACAAGTGCATCTTGCTTGGGTTGAGGCCAATAATTTGGACTCTGTACAGTCTCTGAACCACCACTCAAAAGAATGACTAAGAGGAAGAACCTCCAACAGAGGAAAGATTCAGAGATTGTGAGCCCTGCCACAGAACTAATGCTTATGGATATAAGGAAGATGACAGGAATAGACTTCCAGGTAACAGTTATGATGACAATAGCTAGGATGAAAAAACCATTAATGGTATCATAGATTTTCTAAGGGCAGAAATGAGAGCTAATCTGGCAGAACTTAAAAATGCTATCAGTGAGATCCAATCTAATCTAGATACTCTAACAGCCAGGGTAAACAAGGCAGAAGAATGAATTAGTGATCTAGAAGACAAACTGATAGAAAAGAGGGAACAGGAGGAGGCCTGGAACAAATAGCTTAAAATCCATGAAAACAGAGTTAGAGAAATAAATGACACCATGAAACATTTCAATGTCAGAATTATTGGGATCCCTGAGGGGGTGGAGAGAGAGAGAGGACTAGAAGATATATTTGAGCAAATTGTAGCCGAGAAATTCCTTAATCTGGGGAATGAAACAAGCATTTGTGTCCTAGAAGCAGAGAAGACTCCTCCCAAGATCAAGGAGAACAGACCAACAGCCTGGCATGTAATAGTAAAACTCGCAAATCTTAGAACCAAGGAAATCATTTTAAGGGCAGTTAAGGGGAAGAGATTCCTTACCTACAGAGGGAGGAACATCAGGATAGTGTCAGACCTGTCTCCAGAGACCTGGGAGGCCAGAAAGGACTGGAAGACGTATTCAGGGTACTAAATGAGAAGAACATGCTTCCAAGAATACTTTACCCAGCAAGACTGTCATTCAGAATGGATGGAGAGATAAAGAGCTTCCAGGACAGACAGCAACTGAAAGAATATGTGACCACTCAGCTGGCCCTGAAAGAAATACTAAGGGGGGCTCTATAAAAGGAGAAATACCCCAAGAGTGATATAGAACAGAAATTTACAGAGACAGTCTATAGAAACAAGGACTTCACAGGCAACATGATGACAATAAAATCATATCTTTCAATAATCACTCTCAACATGAATGACCTAAATGCTCCCACAAAACAGCACAGGGTTGCAGATTGGATAAAAAGACAGGACCCATCCATATGCTGTCTACAAAAGACTCGTTTTGAACCTAAAGATACATCCAGACTAAAAGTGAAGGGATAGAGAACTTTCATGCCAATGGACCTCAAAAGAAAGCTGGGGTAGCAATTCTCATATCAGACAAACAGAAAGATACTATATCATTCTTAAAGGGTTATCCAACAAGAAGATCTAACAGTTGTAAATATCTATGCTCCCAATATGGGAGCAGCCAACTACATAAGCCAACTGTTAACCAAAATGAAGAGACATATTGATAATAATACATTAATAGTGGGAGACCTCAACACTCCACTCTCAGCAATAGATCATCTAAGCAGAAAATCAACAAAGAAACAAGAGCTTTAAATGACACACTGGACCAGATGGACCTCATAGATCTATACAGAACATTCCACCCTAAAACAACGGAATACTCATTCTTCTCAAGTGCACATGGAACTTTCTCTAGAATAGACTATATACTGGGTCACAAATCAGGTCTCAACCAGTACCAAAAAATTGAGATTTTCCCCTGCACATTCTTAGATCACAGTGCTTTGAAACTGGAACTCAGTCATAAGAAAAAGTTTGGAAGAAATTCAGACACCTGGAAATTAAAGACCATCCTGCTCAAAAATGTTTGGGTCAACCAGGAAATCAAAGAAGAACTTAAACAATTCATGAAAGTTAACGAGAATGAAAACACATAGGTCCAAAACTTATGTGATATAGCAAAGGCAGTCCTAAGGGGGAAATACACAGCCATCCAAACTTCACTAAAAAAAAAAAAAAAATAGAAAAATCCTGAATACACAAACTATCTTTACACCTTGAAGAACTGGAGAATGAACAACAAATTAAGCCTAACCCACACACAAGAAGAGAAATAGTTAAGATTAGAGCAGAGATCAATGAATATGATGAGAAATATAGTAGAACATACCAATGAAACTAGAAGCTGGTTCTTTGAAATAATTAGTAATATCAATAAACCACTGGCCAGACTTACTCAAAAGAAAAGATAAAAGACCCAAATTAATAAAATTATGAATGAAAGGAGAGAGATCATGACTAACACCAAGGATATAGAAACAGTTATCAGAAATTATTACCAATAACTACATGCCAATCAATTAAGCAACCTGGAAGAAATGGATGCATTCCTGGAAACCTATAAACTACCAAGACTGAAACAGGAAGAAATTGACAACCTGAATAGACTAATAACCAGTAATGAAATTAAAGCGGTGATCAAAAACCTCCCAAAAAACAAGAGTCCAGGAACCGATGGATTCCCTGGGAAATTCTACCAGATATTCAAAGAAGAATTAGTATGTATTCTCCTGAAGCTGTTTCAAAAAATAGAAACAGAAAGAAAACTTCCAGACTCATTCTATGAGGCCAGCATTACCTTGATCCCAAAACCAGGCAAAGACCCCATCAAAAAGGAGAATTATAGACCAATATCCCTGGTGGATTATGGATGCCA